CACATGCTGAGATGAGTTTCAGAAAGACAAATATGGCATAAAATTTATATGAGGTTCAGTAGTCCCTTTCTTATCCAAGGTTTTGCTTTCTGTGGTTTTAGTTACTCTAGGTCAACCCAAGTTCTAAAATATACATGGAAATTTTCAGAAATAAGAAATTCATAGGTTTAAAATAACTTTTACTATAACATAGTGTTTATTGTTCAATTTTACTTACTAGTTAACCATTGTTAGTCTCTTATTGTGCCTAATTTACAAATTAAACTTTATCATAGGTATGAATGTATAAGAAAAATCAGTATATACACGGTTCTGTAGTCTCAGCAGCTTCAGGCATCCATGGAATGTCTTGGAATGTATCTCCCACAGATAAGGCAGGGATACTATATCTATAACAGTCAAACACATAGAAGCGGATTATGTAATAGTGTTTGCCAGGGCTGAAGGGAGGAGAAATGGGAGTTGGTTTTCAATCGGTATAAAGTTTCACTTATGATATATGAGTGAGTTCTAGAGAATGACTGTACTTTATGGCTAAACTTAACAATACTGTATTATGCACTTTTGAAATTCATTAAGAGGGTAGAACCCATGTTAAGTGTTCTTACCATAAAAGGTGGCAGGGGGTGGGCTCGGGATGTGGCTCAGAAGTAGAGCACTTACACAGCATATGTGAGGCCCTGGGTTCCACTCCCAGTACACCCCTCAAAAGCAGGGGATGAAAGACATAGGAAACTATAGAGATGTTGGCTACATCTATTACCTTTATGTATTTCTGAAGTTTACATACATCCAAATTCATTGTACACATTAAATATATGCAGCTACTTGTTTTATCGATGATGTCAATAAAACTGTTTTTAAAAATTACAATACAGACAAAAATTTCTTTGGAAGAGGCAAGTTACCTATATATTATCATGTTTGACTAAAAAATCATCAATAAGGGAAAGTGTCACTGGCCAGGGCAGCACAAGCCTATAATCCCAGTGACTTGGGAGGCAGAGGCAGAAGGATCACAAGTTCAAGGCCAGCCTTAGCAACTTAGTGAGAATGCTGTTTCAAAAAAAAAAAAAATTTAAAGGGCTAGGGATGGAGCTCAGTGGTAAAGTGCCCTTGAGTTCAATCCCCAGTACCAAAATAAATAAATAAAAGCAGGAGTAAGTATCATCATCGTTGAGTCTAGAATTATAAACTTACAAACTGCATTATCATTGATAGTTTTCACATAGAGGTCAGGGTCTGAACTTTAGTCCCATTGAGAATTCTGATGATAGAACACATTGAAGGTCAACAGATAAATCAACAGATAAGATGGTATATAATAATCTGTGTGCTATCTTCAAGATTATATGGATCCAGAATCCAAATCATGTTTGTCCCTTTTTGATCCATATAATGTTTTTCTAAAATTTTTATCTAAATTGCCATAAAATAATAGAAAATCAACCAGTTTCCCAGGAAATTATGGCAGAATCCATAGCAGCTGACCCAAAACCAGAACTTTATTGCCCCTCTTAGGTTTCATCTTTAAACACATGTAAATTTTACATTATGAAATAAAGTGCAGGTTAAGCATCCCTAATCTGAAAATTCAAAATCTGAAAAACTCCAAACTCTTAAATTTTTTTTTTGAGCACTAACATGGTGTCACAAGTAGAAAATTCCACACCTGACCTCATGTGATTGGTTGCAGTCAAAACACAGGTACAGTAAAAAATGTTGCATAAAATTACCTTCAGGCTATGAGTACACAGTGTATGCAAAATGTAAATGAGTTCAGTATTTAGACTTGGGTCCCACTCCCAAGATCTCTCATTAGGTACATACAAATATTCTAAAATCTGAAAAAATCTGAACACTCCTGGTCCAAAACACTATATGAATAAAGGATATTTAGCCTATGCACCTTTTTCAAGTAAAATTGATGCTCCCAGATGACATTGTTATATTTATCCTAGGCTGCTGTGTCCACGATACTTATTTATTCATAGTTATATGAATAAATAAGATTCCAGTCTGGTAAGCAAATACATTTGTGAGAGGTTGTTACATTGTAGCAATTTGTTATTCCAACCCTAGTAAAACTACAACTTTGCTGCCTAGTGGTACCATGGAAACCATTTTTGGTTCCTAATAAAAAGAAACATTCATGTTGCTCTTAAATGGTTCAGGGATTTTTAAAGTACATTATCTATATCTACCGGTCTAATCTCCATGGCAGCATAGTAAATTAACTCTGATCCTTATTTTCATTCTGCAGATGAGGAACCTGAGGAACAGCATCCCCGTTTCACAAAACTCTCAGAATCAGAATTTGAACACTGGGAATTCTCCCTGAAGAATCAGCTCTCAAATGCTAAGCTAGCCTGTGCCTTTGGGGACTGTTTCTTTTTCTTTTCTTTTTTTTTTTTTTCTTTTTTAGTTTGAATTTAGAGACAGGGTCTCTCTGAGTTGCTTAGGCTGGCTTTGAACTTGAGATCCTCCTGTTTCAGCTTTCTGAGCTGCTGGGATTACAGGTGTGTGCCACTGTGCCCAGCAGGCTGTTGCATTTTAACTCTAACATTTTAAGCAAATTAATGTAATTTTAAAAAACAAACAAACACTTATTTCTCCGTTTCTTGATTTCTAAGCCTGGGCAGGTCATCAGTTCATCAGTTTAGTGCTGCTAAAAGATTCTCATGTGTCTGTGACAAGATCCTCAGATTGGTAAAGAATGTAAGTACCTTACGCATTGTGGTTATTACATTTTTATCACTGATTCCACTGGTAGCACAATAAGTTTTTTAAAAATAATAAAGAGCTGTTGAGCCGGGCACACACACCTGTAATTTCAGTGACTCAGGAGGTTAAGTTCAAGGCCAATCTGGGAAAAGTAGCAAGAACCTTAGTAATTTAAGACTCTGTCTCAAAAAAGAAAAAAAAAAAAAGATCAAGGATGGGACTGGAATTGTGGCTCAATGGTAGAGTGCTTGCCTAGCATGTGTGAGGCACTGAGTTTGATTCTCAACACTGCATAAAAGTAAATAAACTCAAAGGTCCAACAGCAACTAAAAAACTATTAAAAAAAAAAAAAAGATCAAGGATATGGATCAATGGTAGAGTGCACCTGGGTTCCATCCCCAATATCAAAAGGCAGGGGAGGATGTTGAACAGCCAATTCCCATAATTGAGCTTATACACATCTCTCTTATGTTTCTTTGATTAAAGTTTCTAGATAAACTTATGGCTCAAATGTTTAACTTTATTCTTTTGCTCACTGAGCTAATTAAAAGCATAAAGAATGGGATTTCTAACAAGTTTGGAGAATGGAAGCACATAAAATTATGCATGATCATGTGCATCCATGTCCAAAGACATTCAAGGATACCTTTGAAACAAAAGTGCAAAATGTTGGTCATTGTTAAAGGCTACTGGAAACCAACTACTGTTTGGGGTTTCTTAAAAGTCTACTGTTTTACTGTAAGAATTGTTTTTTCAGCAAATATATAAAGATAAACAAATACTGAGTATAATTTGAAAAGCTGCAGATAACTTCAAATTTTAAAATTGAAAGCTACTCTGTGCAAGAGTCTGCAAAGCACCATTGATAAGCACTTTTCTTTTTGGCCAATCCTGATTAAATACTGACTGAAGATTATCTGCTTCATCTTCTCTATGAAAGGTAGCATGGTAGTCCTCACTTATCCATGAGAAACAGGTTTTAAAGCATTCCTTGAGAGCTGGGGATGTGGCTTAAGCGGTAGCACACTTGCCTGGCATGCGCGGGGTACTGGGTTTGATCCTCAATATCACATATAAATAAATAAAGACATTGTGTCCACCTACAACTAAAAGAATTAAAAAATAAAAAAAGCATTCCTTGAATGCCTGTTTTATCTCATCCATACGTACTTATGATAAATTTTAATTGATAAATAAGGCAAAGTAAGAGATTAATAAGAACAATAATCAAATAAAACAATAACAATATACTATAATAAAAGTTAGTGGCCCTTGGGCCACAAAACGAAACAACCACTTCCAGGTACCAGAGGACCAGGCATCAGGGTTTGGGGACAGCCCAGTGTCCCTTCTTCCTTTTCCTAGAGTAGTAGTACAATTTTGTTCCCAGGAATTCCTAAGAACCCTATATGCACACAACCTTTCCCCAGCCAGTCAACCTTTCCCTTACAGAGCAAGGGCCTGCCATTGAGCCAAGGCAGCCACAAAGGTCCTCTGATGCCAGTTCTTATGATCATGCCTGAAAGAATTCCCCACGCAAAGACACTTTGCCGGGAGAATTCCAATTTTATTGCAAAAAGCTGTGTGCTTATATAGAACTAAGGGGGAGATGGTAGGGCTTAGATAAATGGCAGGACACCCGTTTATTGGCAAGTTCTTCCAGATATCAGCTCCGGAGCCCAGGAATTAGTTCTCATTGGGGCTAAGGTTCCCCGCCAGCGAGATTTGAAATTGGCGCCGGCGGGAGAGTTCACACGGGCGGGAACTTTTCGTGCCACTGCAGAAAAGAAGAAGGTAGGAAGAAGAAGTCCTTAGGCGCCATGTTGGGGTTTTTTCTCTGGGGTACGGCTGCCGTTTATACTTTTCCCAACAATGCCAGAAAGATTTCAGATACATTGCTCAGGGTAGCATGCATAAGTATTTTAGAAGGGATAGAAAAAGAGAAAAGGGAGACACTCTCAAGGGAAAGATAAGGCTCTCTCAGAGAGAAGGACAGTACACTTCTCCTGCCTCTGCCCCATTTTATTGGGGGTCCCAGAGAAGTTTCCAGAAAGTCAACCCAGGTCTACCTCTTGACTTGACCAAAATCAGAATTGCATCAGACTTTCAAGTTCCCACTGCGCATATTAAAGGTTCAAGGCAACTCTGGGTCACTTTGGCCTAACTGGTTCTAACTTCTTATGGATTAGATTAGAGGGACTTATCCTTATCTCCCTGAGTTCTAGAATCTGGACTGTATAATGGTCACAAAGTCCCCCACCCCCAAGGAAACCTGTGTTCTCCTTATCAGCAAGGAGGAGCCTTTCAGGTCTGTATTTCTCTTGTAGATACCAGGATGTTTGCTGAGGAATGTAATACATCCTATGGACTTAATCCAGGCAGGGCTACAGGTAAATCCCTTTTTAAAAGAAAGCAGGTGGGGGTCAGTATAGTAGGCCCAGTTTATAAAATTATTCCTTTAACCTCCTGTTCCCACCACTCCAATCTGACTGTTACCTCTCAACACAGGACACAGGAATTGAGCCATGTTAGCCTGGAAAAGAAAAAGTAATGGAGTCACCAATACCTGGTCACAATTCGACACTCCCAGCTGCTGGGGGCCCAAATTGCCTGGATTCCGGGTCCTCCTCCAACTCAACTGCCCACTGTCTCTGTGTCCTAATAGTCTTCCAATAATTCCCCCCTTGGCTTAGGGCCACCAGATCCCATTAAGTAGCTTTGCGGAGAGACCCTCCCTTGCCAGAGGCACTTTCACCATTGAGTACCCAGGAACATCACCCTGAGGCTTGACCACTGTTCTTTGGGGGAATTAATTCTTAATGTACTATATCAAATCACCTAGGAGGGAAGTCACCAGGTAAAATTAATCAGTTCTGCATGGAAAAAGCCTCATTTTCCAACTCAAGGGAAAACAAGAGATTGTATCCCTGCAGGAAGAGAAGCCCAGGAAGTTCCCAGCCACCTTGCACCCCTCTAGTCTGTTCATCAACTAGCACTAAGCATTCTCAGGCTTCCCCCTCACTCTCCTTCCTCCTCCATCCACACACCTGCTGCTTCATCTGTGACCACACAAGCACATGCTGACAGTTCCTCCCTGGCTCCCACCTGCACTGTCCTCCTGGGCTCCACTTCCATCACCCAGCTGCCGGCAATCCCCTCTAGATGTCACATGGGCACCTTCAAGCCAATAAGCTATACATGACCTGTCACTTTCCTGTACTACAAGCCTGGCAGGCATGGGTGATCTTCTTTTCTCACCTCTACCTCCAAAGAGTCATCAACTCCTGGCACCTTCCCCCTCAGTTCTCTGAAATGGCCCCTTCCCTCTGTCTATGATGAGTTCATGCCTCATCACCTCTACCTGGTTGGAAGCGGTGACCCCACAGACCACTGCACCTTGATTCCTGTCACTACCCTTCACACCGCAGCTGGAGCCCTTA